ACAAACAATATATAACATATAACAATATATAACAAACAAACAATATATAACATATAACAATATATAACAAACAAACAATATATAACATATAACAATATATAACAAACAAACAATATACAACATATAACAATTTAGGTGAATGAACAAACGTTATAAAAATTAAACTTAAATTAGGGTCGCTAATTTAGAAAAATACACAGAATTCGGTACCCGCCAAAACTGAAAATATGCACGCATGGGGCTGGAAGGATTAATTAAAAGACCTCATCCAACATCCCCCCAAAGCAATGCAGCTGTGTGCCCCACCTTGACCTGCTGGTAGTAGATGTCCCCTGCCTTTAGAGTCGACACATGATGATAATCACATATTTACCCCAAAAATATGCACATCAATGAAACCAAACTTCTCCTATAGGTAGGGCCATGCCCACTTTTGGTGAAGGTCAAAATTTCTGGAAACCCCCGAAATCTGGGTTAGTCCGCTTGTCCTTAAAAACGACTATATATATTGACTAAATTACACATTTTGTGGATCTACAGAATATGTAACAATCGATGGATAATTGCGCATTCCAGGGAACCACAAAGTGCGTTGCGCGATCCATCCAGCGATCGCTCAAATCGAAAAAATGCGGATAACATGACAGTAACACATATCATTATTATGGTTTACCAGGTATTTAGTACATACAGAAGTATCCAAAACTTCTTCAGATAAACAAGATCTTTACCAGGACCTCAATAAAACTAAGTGAGGCAAATACGCAACTGTGTGATCACAGTCAGAGATGAGGTAGGAAGAAGGCGGTGGCGATGGATTGGACATTCTCTTAGGAAGTCAGGCAGCTGCATAACAAAGAAAGTTTTGGATTGGAATCCACAGGGTAATAGATTAAGGGGGAGACAGTGTGGAACCTGGAGAAGAATCACAGAAATCGAAATACAAAAAAGTGAGAAGACATGGAATAACATCAAGAGGCTAGCCGGGGATAGACAAAGGTGGATGGAAGGTGTTTGTCCGTGGCCTATACCCTGGTGCAGGGTGAGAAAGGCAATATTGATGATGATGATGATGATGATGATGATGATGATGATGATGATGATGATGACCCACCTTGACCTGCTGGTAGTTGACATCCCCTGCCTTGTTGAGCCGGCACATGGTGGCCTGGAGGACTCTCCACGACACCGTCTTGGCCGACTGGGTCCCCCCGACTATCATGACCGAGTGTCGAGACGACTTGGTCTCAAACAGCTGCACGACTTTGGTGATGGTCTGCTGGTTCACCTGGAGCTTCTGATCCTTCAGCTCCTCCTCGATGGCGCTCTTGATCTGTCATGGCGGGGAGGAGAGAGAGAGAAGTTTACAATGTTTAAAAAATGAGTTGCAAATCAGAAATGAGACTGATAGTACTATTATATATTTTTCAGGAGGGGGGGGGGGGGCAGGAGAGAGAGAGACGTTTACAGTGTTAAAAAATGAGTAACAGATCAGATATGAGACTGATGGTATTATAAACTATTTTTCAGGCAGGAGGAGAGAGGCGTTTACAATGTTAAAAAAAGAGCAACAAATCAGAAATGAGACTGATAGTATTATTATATATTTTTCAGGAGGAAGGGAGGGAGGAGGGAGGAGAGAGATGTTAACATTGTTGTTTTTTTAAAGTAACAAATCATAAAGAGACTGATAGTGTTATTACATATTTTTCACGAGGGAGGGGACAGAGGCCTTAAACAATGTTAAAAAAGTAGTAAATAAGAAAGGAGACTGATAGTATTATTATTATATATCCTTCAGGTGGGAGGGAGGAGGGAAGAGGGAGGAGGGAGGAGGGAGGAGGGAGGGGAGAGAGACATTATAATTGTTAAAAAAGCAACAAATGAGAAAATAGACTGATGGTATTATTATATATTTTTCAGGTGGGAGATTCCTAGGGGGGGGGGGGGGGGAAGTTTATTAAAGAGAGTAATGAAACAGAAACCAGACTGCAAGCATTATCATTAAATTTTACCAATATCATGTCATTGTTATTCTAATTATCATCATCATCATCATCATCATCATCATCATCATCATCATGGGGAAGTTCTGCAGCTGACACCAGTCAATGGCAATTCGAATGGAGTTATTTGGACGAGTGGAGGTACCGCTAAGCATATTGACAATGGAGCCGAAAAAGAGCCTCATTCTCGCTCGAAGATTTTTTCGTGGAGTCAGTCAGGCCCATTAAGGAACAAAAAAATCCCCATCATCATCACTGCCATCATTATCATCATCATCATCATCATCATTTTCATAGTTCAAAAGTAAGGAAAAAAGTAGGTAGACTAAAAAAGATTGCATATCAGTCAAAGATTTAACTCGAACCAAAACTTCCACTTGTGAAAAAATTGCTCAACATTTTTCCATAAGCTCAATGTAGGAAAGAAAGATTACATTTTTACAAAACATACCTTGTCAGTATGTTAGTGTTTTAGCGCCTATAAATGGCTGCTTGCACTGTATACTTCCCAGGAGGTTGAGTTAGCTTCAGAATGCTCTCAGGTCTGCTGGGGTAATAGTATAGATTGCGAAGCGCACAGAGCTTGCTGATGAGCGGGGATTTGCGCTATACGAATGCTATCTATTATTATTAAAACTACACGTTTCACGTCGAAGACTTCCTCAGGAGCAACTGAGAAGAAAACTAAGGTGAGAGCTTTATAAATATACACGTTGACGGGACTCACAAAGGAATCAACATCATCAACACCATAGACAAAAACGTAGAGCAGATTCTGAAAATGGTATACAGGTCAAGGTACTCATGACCTTCCCTTCTCCAGCCACTGACCTTGGAATAATCAACCGTGGGTGTCTCAACTCCAGGGAACAGATCTGACATGATGCCGTTGAACAGAGGCAGATCCACAGATGTCAGTTTGGCTATGTTCATGTCTTTCATCGACAGTAGGAGAATCTGGAGAAAGACGGACAACATTGACCAATGCAACGTGACAGACAACAGCATTTCAATCAAGATTCTCTACACTTGTACTTGGCTTGCGAAAAATATTTGCCACTTGCAAAAAACTTCTTTTTTTATTTTGGTGTGTAATACTTCGGTCTGCTCGCTGTGTAATTATAAATCTAGATCTGTCAAAACTTGAGTTACAATTTTTACAACGCAAAAGAAGTAGGAAATATTTGAGAGGCTGAGATGAAAAACCCGCTACGTCCATTGAGAAAATCAGCTTTTTTTAAACTGCTGCATTTTGCACAAACATGCGTAAAAAGAAGATATTTTCGTGTCTTTTATGAAGTAGGTGTTGGGTTTTGGCCGCAAACACTTTGTGCATCTGATATCCTGTAACAAGGTGCATTTATAAGCAAAAAATCTCGATTTTTTTTCCAAAATGTCACTTAGTGGGTTTTGCATCGAGATCTCACCTCCTCGTTTGTCTCACACAATAGTTGTAAAGTGCATACATTTTTTTTTAGCAATACCGGCTTAAACTGGCCTTCCCGTCAAGTTGCTATACCGGCTTTTACCATCCTGACATACCTGCCTTTAGTGCAGACTTAAAAATAAAAATGTTCCACTCTAAATTTATATGCTGACATCCTAAGTCTTTGTTTGTAAAATTTCATTGAAATAGGTCACTTAGATCAAAGGTAAAAACAATTTCTTTGCTACACCCCCTGTACCTCTAAAAAACACTGAAATACTCTGGTTCAGGGAAGCCATCAGCTGGCCGCCATTTTGGGTTCCGCTGTGCTGAACTGCTGACCTGTTTATGGTGCTAAGAGGGATAAAGCATGCTGTTGAGCATGGACATGTGCTATATAAATGCAATTATTATCATTGTTTCTTAATAATATAAGAAAAAACTATGACAGTACGGATTAAATCCTCCATATTATACCAGGGCTGCCCACCCACCAGCATATGTTTTAGTAATCAGCGAATTAAAAAATAAACCTCCCCTCCCTCCCTCCATTCCCCAACCCCCCCCCCCCCCCCCCGCACCAACCTCCTCATCAGAGAGCTGTGGGTTGGCTCGTTTCTTCTTGCCGGCGTAGCGCAGCAGAGAGACAATGGCACGGAGCTGGAAGTCGTAGTGGTCCTGTTTGCTGAGCTGCTGCATGGCCAGGCTGTACAGGGTGAAGGTCTTCTTGGCCAGGAGCTGTTGCATGGGAGATAGAAATATATGTGAGGCAGCGTGGTGAAATCAGGCGCTTATCAAAATAATGAAAGTGAAGAAACTGGCATTTTTCAGCAGGTTTGGGAATTTTTATAGACTTTTTTGTTTTTTGGCTTAACACCTTTCATGCCTCTTACAGAACACACCTCCGTGTGGATTTTACTGAAAAAAACGTTGATTAAAGGCATAAAAGATGTACATTTTAGCTTTCTACGGACTCTCAAGTTTAGGAAATAACTACACTTTGGCAGTCATTCTCTTGCTAATTTTACCTCTGAAACAAGGAGACCCCTACCTCCATCAATCGCCAATCTTGACTTGTATCCACGATAAATGGATATTTTTTTATCAAAAGCAAGGCAAATGGACAGGCTTTAAGATGACACCAATAACTCCATATGCCCCAAAATTGACGAGCGCCTGATTTCACCATGTCGTGACACATATAGTCGAACCTGTGTTAGACGGCCACCCATTGTCAAGAAGAAAAGTGGCCGTATAAGACAGGTGGCCGTCTTGTCAGTGAGTTTCTTTAAAAGTCTAAAATCAAAAACGTTGCTGAAAAAGGTGAGTAAAACTTTCATGTTAAAGAGGAAACCACTCTTACCTCAAGGCACCCTCTAAACTCACGTTTTTCCCCTCCCTTCCCCCTCACATCTCACCTTACTGTAGTTTGAAGCTCTTAGAAAACAAAATTAACTCAGAGGTTGGTGCTGAGTCTAGAATCATCATAGCAATGGGCCGGAACATGGACTCACTATCCACCCTCCTACCCTCCCCTCCCCCCAACCCCCTGCAACCCTTTTCCCTTCCCCCACCCAAAAAAACAACAACAACCCCCCGCCCCCCCCCCCAAAAAAAAAAAACCCCTATACAAACAAATCGGACCTTAGAGTTGTTGAAGCGCTCAACAAACAAGATGATCTCAGAGATAAGTGCAGAGTCTGGCACCACCTCCCCTGCCCCCCCCCCCCACCCCTTGCAACCATTTTCTCTTCCCCCACTCCCCAAAAAAACAAAACAAAAAACCCAAACAAAACAACACAATCAAATCTGACCTTAGTGTTGTTGAAGCCCTCAGCAAACAAGATGATCTCAGAGATGAGTGCGGAGTCCGGCACCACCTCCCCTCTCCCCCCTCCCTAGCAACCCATTTCCCTTCCCCCACCCAAGAAAAAACCCCAAAAAAACAACACAAACAAATCTGACCTTAGTGTTGTTGAAGCCCTCAGCAAACAAGATGATCTCAGAGATGAGTGCAGAGTCCGGCACCACCATGGCGATGGGCCGGAACATGGACTTGAGATTGTCAGGCAGCTCGGTACGGCCAGCGTATCCTGGCAGAACACACAGACCATTTTTTTACTTTTTTAGTACAGTTTTTTTTACAGCGCTCGCAACTGCATACGGTCATATGAGTGCCAGAAGATTAGAGGCGTTATACAAGAGAGTAACAAACATAAAAAAGAAGAAGGGGAGATAAGGACGATAGATGTTTTTAGTTTATTTTAGTAGAGGTTTTACGGCGTTGGGCAATTGCATAAGGTCATAATAAATATGAGTGGCAGAAGATTAGAGGTGTTACAAGAGAGTAACAAACAAAAAAGAAGAAGGGGAGATAAGGACGATGGATGTTTGATAGGAAAGAAGAAGCAGACCACACGAGAGCACTCACCTACCACCCACAAGACCATTTCAATTATAGAATTTTAAAAAGGACTTTGAGACTAGACAACAACGGTTTTCTTCCAACAGAACGAAGTCGACTCTATTCATATTTTCTATTGCACTGTGTTGCTAGTACCACGTTTGATTTGCATTGCCTTTTGAGTACACATACCAAGAATAAGTTGCTTTTTTTCTTCAGAACTAGCTTTATAGGTGAATGAATCGATTAATTTTTAAGATGTGATGTCTTTTTCGTTGTAATGCGCATTGAGCATCTTTTAGAAAATGGAAAAGCGCAGTATAAATGCTATTTATTATTATTATTATTATGAAACAATGTCTGAACATCTAAGAAACCAGCCACCCTGGTCAGGACAACATCATCAAACCATGCTATCTAAGAAAATGGGAGCCCATCACTAAGATTGGGATTTATCCTCATCATTGCCTTTCTCACCCCGCACCAGGGTATAGGCCACCACGAGCAAACACTTTTCACTTTTCTCTATCCTGGGCTAGTCTCTTGACGTTATTCCAAAGGTTGGGATTCTATTTGCCTAATATTACTAGCAAAAGATGATGATGATTAGTCCTGACCGTGAGGTTGTGGGTTCGGGGGTTCGAGCTGCAGGGCCAATGTTGTGTACTCGGGCAAAGGCACTTTACACGAATTTTCCTCACTTCACCCAGGTGGAAATGGGTACCAGGCCATAGACAGCGAAAGATCTTGTCAGTATGTTATAGTTTTTTAGCGCCTAAAAGGCAGCTTGCACTGTATGCTTCCCAGGAACTTGAGGTTGTTTCAGAATGCTCTCAGGTCTGCTGGGGTAATAGTATAGTAGATTGTGAAGCGCATAGAGCTTGCTGTTGAGTGGGGATTTGTGCTATATAAATGCTATCTATTATTTTTTATTAACACTGACAACCTACCTGGGTTCATGGTGATGAAAATGCCGCAAGACCAGACCAGGTCAATGTCGCGACCCTCAAAGACAAACCTCTCGGAGTTTGCAGCCAGTGCGCTCAAGATGGAGAGGATTTGTTGAGCGACCACAGACAACACCTCAATGTTGATCCTGTTGAACTCGTCAAAGCATCCCCAGGCACCAGTCTGAAGGAAGAGAGAGGAAGTGTGAGTGAGAGAGAAAGACAGAGAGAGTAAAAGAGAGAGAGAGAGAGAGAGAGAGAGAGAGAGAGAGAGAGAAAGAGAGAGAAAGAGAGAGAGAGAGAGAGATAACGTGTTTTTGTAAGAGAAAGAATATATATGTGCGGTGAGTGTGTATGTGTGACATACAGGAAAGAAATACAAAAAAGAAGAGAGAGATGGTGGTCAAAGCGATACAATTTAGATCAGACGGAGAGCTTTTGTAATTCCTGTGCGATAGTTCAAGCAATTTGAGCTGTCGGCTGTGTGACTGCAAAGTGTTGAACAAAAAAACAGTAATTCAAACTAAAAATTACAGCCAAATACCAAATTAATTTTTATGGGAATTTTTTTTTTCTTAAATAATAAACAAAACAAAAAAATAGCCACAAATATGTTTTCACATTTCTAAAAAGAAAAATCAGCAAAACAGAACTTACCTGTGCCAAACCTGAGAACATTCTGCCCATAGACTTGTAGTCCAGACCCTCGGAACAGTTGACCACGATGACATACATGCCCAGGGCTTTCCCCAGATCTTTCACCGTCTCAGTTTTGCCGGTACCAGCAGGACCTGGATGGATGGATGGACGGATGGGTTAGATGGGTTAGATGGGTATTTTTTTCATTGAAAGCAAGGAAAATGAAAAAGCTTTAAAATGACACCAATAACTCTATATACACAAAAATTGCACAAAAATTGACGAGCGCCTGATTCCACCGAGCCAAGTCACAAATGACAAAAATTGTCATTAAATGGGCCTTTAAATCATAACAAGTGAATCTATTTTGATAGTTGAATAGAATTTCAATAGATCCATTGAATGAACTCCCACTAATAGAAACTGATTTTCGGCAATTGCTGAGAAGTAATTTGATGTCAGAATCGTCGTAAGGAAACGTGGCACTGGCCGCTGGCTGCCAAGCGACTCACCGGCACAGCGGTTCCGGCCATGAGCCGCTGGGAGCTGCTTGCCAGAGATAAAGAGTTAACCCTGTCAGACTTAACCCCCTGAGCCTAACTTCCCTCTATACCTGCTGGCCTCCTGAGCAAAAGTTAGCAGAAACGCATGGCTCACAAAAGTGGTTAGTACAAGAAAATGAGTAATCAGAAACACATGAAACTTGGTAAAAATACAGATAAGAGGCCTACCATTGAGCTAATGCCAAAACTTGGATAGGTTTTCAAGCACTTCTTGAGTGGTAAACAGTTAAGACCTAGCCCTCTTTCCTATTGAAATCATTGGTTCATCAGTACGTCTCTTCATGATGAAAAAATTTTAAAATTTAGAAGAGAAACAACACTGCAGTCCAACCTCTCCGAGTCTACCATTTGCAATGATAATTCCCGCACTAAATGCGGAGTTTAGAGCTGATTGGCTAGCTATTTTTAAATATGTTGTGATTTTAAGACGGGGACTCCCAATTGCCGGTCAAGCGGTAATCCGGCATAGTTGATGTTTTGAGTTACCGGGAATATGGTCTGACAGGGTTACCCCAGCTCACCTTTGGGGCTCCCTCCCCTGTGTAGATGTAAGGCTGTGGTCAGTGTCATGTAGCAACGGTCAGTCAGCGGAGTGATGACCAGACGTCCAGAGTTGCCCAGGTACTCGTAGCCGTACTGGAACTGCGTGTTAGTCTGCTTGATGACGCAGTCGTCATACTCCTGGGACACAGAGACGAAGAAAAAATGTTTAACACTTTGCCCTATCAGCGACGGTGTGATAAAGCAACAAAAATGTTGCAGCAATGATCTCTTTTTTTTACATGTGCACTTGTTAACCCTATCCATATGCCCTTGAGTCATTTTGTCAAGTTTCTATGAAAAGATTTTCTCACTCAAAAGGAAATGGCAGATACTGTCCTTTAGAGAGAAAAAACGGACATTTTGATTTCCTCAGCCACAAAGTTACTGACCTTGTCCCAGTACAGCCTGAGCTGCGACAGCCACTCAAAGGCGTTGACGTCATTCACGTTGAGCTTGGCCAGTCGCTCGATGATGTCACGGGCATGCACCTCAATGGTCACCAAGGCCACAATCTTTGACCTCTGGATTTTAGACAGGTTAGAGCGGATCGCCTCTGAGAACTTGTTCAGCATCATCACCTGTTGGAGAAACATTGTCTCGTTTACGTCTGTGCAACCCATTATATTTGTGTATTTATGTGATAACCACTGTCTGTCTAATTGTGGGATAGCTATAGTTTGCTTATGTGATAACTAGAGTTTGTTTGTTAAATAACCAGTGTACGTTTGTTTATGTGATAACCAGAGTTTGTTTGTTTATGTGATAACCAGAGTTTGTTTGTTTATTTGCTAACCAGTGTTTGTTTATGTGATAACCAGTGTCTGTTTGTTTGAAAACCAATGTACATCTGTTTATGTGATAATCATTGTTTGTTTGTGTGAGTGATAACCAGTGTTTGTTTGTTTATATCATAACCAATGTTAGTTTGTTTATGTGATAACCATGGTTTGTTTATATCATAACCAGTGTACATTTATTTATGTGATAACCAATGTCCTTTTGTTTGTGTTATAACCAATGTTTGTTTGTTTGTGTGATACTCATTGTTTGTTTGTTTGTTTGTGTGATAATCATAGTTTGTTAGTGTGATAACCAATGTTTGGTCGTTTGAGTGATAATCATTGCTTGTTTGTGAGATAACCAATGTTCGTTTGTTAGTGTGATAACCAATGTTTGTTTGTTTGTTTATGTGATAATCAATGGGGGTTTTTTGGTGTGAAAATCATTATTTGTTTGTTGTGGCGTAACTAACGTCTGTTTGTATAGATGAGAACTATTGTTTCTTCATTTGGGTGATAACCATTCTTTGTTTGATAACAAGTCTTTGTTTGGTGTACTAATGATAATAACGACAATGTGGAATTTCATTACCTGTTTCTTCTTCATGCTCTTGAGGGCGCGCTTGTCTCCCCTCTCCTTGGTGATGGCCAGTGCTTTCGTCACGTCCTGTGTCCACTGGATCTGGCCGGCCGTGATGCACATCTGATACGCAAAGAAAGATACATAAAGTACGTACAATTGTTAAAAAGAATGAAACAGTGTGTTGTTGATAGAATCACAAAGGCTAGAGTGTTCAGAATTCAGATTTATTTGCAGAGAAGAGTAGGTCTAATGAGTTGTGTCGTGCATCATGCTGCGCGCAAGAGCGTATATCTCCAATTAACTCAACGAATGATGATGCGACTTGCGTGTGCTCAAGAGAAGGGAAATGAAGCAATTTACAAATTATGCAGAAAGCGAAAGTACATAAGTCTCGTATCCTAAGGTGACCAACAGTTTTTTTATAAACTCCCTCATGAAAAATTTTGTTTTCTAGGCTTAAAACATTTGGGAAACTTGCCAGCAATATGGTTGCTTTTAAGGACAAGCGGGCTAACTCAGATTCGGGGGTTTCCAGAAATCTTGACCTACACCAAAAGTGGGCATTGCACTACCAATAGGAGGAGTTTGGTTTCATTGGTGTGTATATTTGTTTGGTTAAAGAAACGGAACAAGGGTCAAAAACTTTACCTTAGATTTTCTCAAAACAGCATTTTTGGGGATAGCCCCCTTGTGCTTAAAAGCGACCGTATAAAACAACAGAAGAATGCCGACAATATAATACAACAGAAGTGGGAAGGATATTAAAGACTGACTGAAGACATTTTGGTGATCAGACACCAGAGAGTCGTAACACTGTAAAGAAGATTACTGGTAGAAACAATAGGCAGTGTTTGTTTGTTTGTTTGTTTATTTGTTTGTTCCTTTGTTAGTTTTTTTATTTGTTTGTTCCTTTGTTTGTTTGTTTATTTGTTTGTTCCTTTGTTTGTTTGTTTGTTTGAGTAAAGAGAAGTGCATCGATGTAATAAGATGGTCAGTAAGTGCTGGTGAAACTTAAGACAGGCAGACAGAAAAAAACAGAGGGAAAGAAAAGAAGTAGGGCCTGTCAATGGCGCCCTTCAGCCACCCATATTGACAGCAGTTATATAGTGCATGTCTTCAGTAGAAAGTAAAGTCTCTGCCCTTTACTATTCATGACAAGAGCGGAGCACCCACCATACACAAACCAACAAAGACATCAAGCTAGAAAATGGGTGGGAAACTGCAAAAGACAATATAAATAAAAATAATCATTCAAAAGTTTTCTATTTGTTATATCAGAATGAGGACTTCATCACAACATTCTTATTTCAGAAAAGCATCGTTGCAACCTCTCCCAGTAAAGGAGTAATACATAAAACGAACCTTTTACCATAATCTTTTTTCCCCTCTATTTCTCTTCCCCCTCCCCCTTTCTCTCGTCTCCCTCTCCCTCCCTCTCTTTCTATCTAAATTTCATCCTCATCAGTCATAATCATGATCACCTGTCCGGGCCAGTCCTTGATCCACTTGTCTCTCTTGCTCAGGTTTTTCTTCAACGCTGCTCGGCAGTTCTTCAGGATCTCCTTGAGGGTCCATCGCATGGTCTTCTCCACATCACACAGCCATGCCTGTAGGGAGGAGACTCAAAGTGTGACTGATTGACAGATTGATTGACCTATTGACTGACTTATTGACTGATTGATTGATTGATTACTGTTGTAATGTATTGTAAAGCACTCAGAGCCTGTGTACTTTAATCGGGGTTGAGCGCCATATAACTGTCATTTATCAAGTCTGACTGACTGACACTCTGACTGACAGACTGACTGACAGATTGATTGATTGATTGATTGATTGACTGACAGACAGGTTGGCCGACTTGTACAAGGATTGATCAAATGATTATTTGACTGATCGGTGGGTTGGATGAATGGTAGACTGCAAGACTTATTGATGGATGGATAGATGAATGGATGGATGGGTAAATGGAAGAATAGAATTTAATGCATTGACTGAGGGACAGGCAGATGGATTCCTTGATTGCCTAATGGATCCATTGTTCGTTTGATTGGCCAGTTGATTAATTAGTTGAATGATTGATAGACTGTCTGATGGATAGGCACACTGACTGAAATATCAACCAACGGAAAGTAAAGAGATGTAAACAGAGAGAGTAGTGAACAGGCAAGACAGTTGATAGATTACAGAAAAAGATGAAGGAAGAGCCTGTCTCCAAGACATACCAACAATTACAACAAAGCCATGTCCCCCAATCCCCCCTCCACCCATCTTCCACCATACTGCACCCCTCTTCCACCCCCATCTTCCTCCACCCATCCACTACCATGTCCAACACTCCTCCACTCATCCACTCCACCCTTCCATCCCCCTCCACCTCTCCACTCCACCCATCTACTTCCCCATCCATCCACCCTCCACCAATCCACTCCACCCTTCCATGCCCCTCCACCTATCCACTCCACCCATTCACTTCCCCATCCACCCCCTTCCACCCATCCACTCCACCCTTCCATCCCCCTCCACCTCTCCACTTCCCCATCCATCCACCCTCCACTCATCCACTCCGCCCTTCCATCCCCTTCCACCTCTCCACTCCACCCATCTACTTCCCCATCCATCCACCCCCCATCCATCCACCCTTTATCCATCCACTCCCCCCTTCTATCCCCCTCAACCCCTCCACTCCACCCATTCACTTCCCCATCCATCCCCCTTTCCACCCATCCACTCTCCCCTTCCATCCCCCTCCACCTATCCACTCCATCCATTCACTTCCCCATCCATCCACCCTTCACCCATCCACTCCCCCCTTCCATCCCCCTCCACCTCTCCATTCCACCCATCCACTTCCCCATCCATCCCCCTCCACCTCTCCACTCCTCTCATCCATCCCCACTCCACCCATCTACTCCCCCATCCATCCCCACTCCACCCATCCACCCCTCCATCCCCTCCCCCATCCACTCCCTCTCCTTTTATACCTCCACAGGCCCCTCCAAAAAGACGGCGTGTCCAAACTCCACAAACTCGCCCTCGGAGGAAGTCATCCCCCCAGCCTCCCACTTCTGTTGTACTCCGGCCTGAAAAAAAAATAGAATAAAATTAATAAAACAAAATTTAAAAACCTGGGAAAGAGTAGGTTTGGTAAGAACAGAATGTCACTAAATTGTCCTCTTCTTCTTCTTCTTCTTCTTCTTCTTCTTCTTCTTCTTCTTCTTCTTCTTC